ATCAATTTTCAAAGATGACAGTGCAGGGAAGGCATATAAGGAGAGAGAGAGAAAGGGAGAGCTTTTCTCAAATAGCCTGATTTTAGGCAATTGTCAGCAAATACCTGTTATCTCACAGCTAGGAGGGGAAAGAAATGAAAATATATATTGCATTTTTTAAATCATAAGGACCAGACCTTAAAAATCCTTTTGAAATCCACCATTTATTTGATAGATACATAAATCTGACAGCTGGAAAGAAGGCCTATTCGGAAAAGCTGGGGAGTCACCATTGTTGAGACCACCTGTCATTTCACATGAGGCTAGAGCCTTGTGGGAGAAAGTCAGCCCAAGGGTTCTGTCTTCATTTTTTTTAAATGTTGTATTTATGGAGCAGGATCAGTTTTATGTATCTCAGAAAGTCTACAATTCTGTGCTCACGGCCATTTGCTGACTAATGTCTCCAGCAGAGAACGACAAGCAAGTTCATGAATTACGGCTGGCTTTGACGTTTCTTATCAAGACTGTTTTTTTATTTTAAGAACCTCTGCTTTGATTAAAGCCATTAGAACCAGGAGCAAATAAAAACGTGTCTGATTTTCACATGTCTGGCATTTTATAACAGGAGCCCGGACGAAACCTGTCTTAATTCTCACAACCCTAAGGCGAGTGATGAGTATTAACCTAGTAAGTTCAACTAGTTTCTCCTCCATTATCTGGTTTGGGGTTCTAAAAAAAATCCTGTGGCAGGAGACTTGTTGGTTGAGTCGGACTTTTACTTATTTATATCCTCTACTTCAATTCAAAGATATTTTCAATACCCCTCTTTGCTGCAAAAATTATTCTAAAAGTGACTTGGTTGAAGAATGTGTTGGAAGGTGGGTCCTGGGTTGAGTGAACCTAGAAAAATCCTTATCAAATTATTTTTATATTCCCACAAACTAAAAAAGAAACCCAACTGCATAGTAAATACACAAGACAGAAGTGATGTAAAATTATCTGAAACGAATAACAAAGGAGACCGGACAGTTGTTTTCTGTTGGTTTACTAGAACGCTTCAGGGTCTCTTTCTCCTCAGCTTGACCATGGTTCTGTGGCTGATTGTTTGCATTCTTGAAACGTTCGGTGTTTTTCTGATTCTGTGATGTGAAATCATGAGATCCCTCTGTGTTACCACACTTCAGGGGGACATAGGGCTGGACATGGAAGATGCTGTGAGTGTCTATTTAATGTAGCTGGAACGGTGGAGTAGGTATTTCTTAGACCTCCCAGGTCCCTCAGCTCTGCCCTTGATGACACTTTCTGGTGGAGTATTTTTCTTTAATCTCTGATTTGCCACTCATGGGTCTCAGTTCAACTTCCATCAGCTTCCTTTCTGGCCCCCAAGCCTGCACTCTAAAAATGTCTATCCTTGTTGGGCCTTTCACTTTGCCTTGTTTGTCCATCCCCCATGTGCTCAGGCCCTCTGTCCTTGAACTGGAATATCATGTAGGTGGGTGTATTCTCGGGGCAGATGTTACTGTATTGGCTTTCATTGTCCACAGTTAGTGACAGTTGTTATTTCTTACTGTGGATTATGGCCGATGTGGAAGCGGTCGGTAGCCAGGACACGCAGTAGGTACCTTGTGCATATAGAAATTCCATATATCAACTTTTTTCTGTTGTCTAATATCTCAGATCTGTCAAATATCCATAGATCAATAGATAATATTCCATTGACCCCGTTGTGTTTTTTCCTAATTAATTACCTATTGAATGAGAGTTCTCTGGCTTGGTTGAGATGATTAGCATGCTAGAAATTGCCCATACCCCTCAGGGCCTGAAATAGCCTTTTCCATATTCTTTCCCCTATGAATTTTTGAGCACCACTTGGACATCCTAAATAGTTAGCTAATAGAACAAAGTTGTCAGTCCTGGCTCTGTGTATTCCTGTGCGGGATTGGTACACCTTAACTGGTGAGTTATCTTTGATTTGGGATATGTAGAGCTCTAGATGTGGGTGTGTATGATATGCATGCATCTGTAAAAATGTTACTCCTCCATGCTTCTATGCAAATCAGTTTTAAAGTATCACATGGTACAGCTGCATTTTTACTTCTGATGGAGGAAGTCCATGAGGGTTAATTGCCTCTAGGCCTGGCTAAGTGATCAGCAAGGGATTGGGTGAGGGAGGGACAGAGAGAATCAAGAAAATCCTTGGTTCTTGTCCTCACATATCCTGGAGTCCTCTGGGGGCCCAAGGCATGTGTTCAACGTGTGGCCCAACACATGCTCTTTTGCGAGTCAGTGGGACGTGCTCTGAGAAGAGCTGAGTGATGGGATAATTAGAACCAAGCAGACAGCAGGGTGGATGGTTTGTCTGCAGATAATAGCTTGTTTGCTAATTGCCAACACCAGATTTACTGGGCAATTAGACATTTGGTGTCTTCCAGGACCTTCTGTGCAAATGTGGACACATGGCCGTGGGCCTTGCAGGTAGCAGGTGGAGGGAAGGTGGCTCCCACTGCTGGATGGCATCTCTCTGCAGGCTGCCCAAGGGGCCGTGGGCAGGGCAGACTTCTTGCCAACAGGTGGGAAAGACCATCTGGCTGGGCTCCCTAGCAGAGAGGCTGGACTCCCCCTACTTTATGGAAGGGGGTGCCCTTAGCTGGGAGATTCGCAAAGGGAGTGGACTTCAGCAGGCTGGGCCAGGAGCTGGGCTTACGTCTCTGTTCTCTTTTCAGGAGCACCAAGCCATGGGTGCTCCTAGGAATCAGAAATTGCTCTCCCTCTAAGATGAGCAAGTTGAGTTTTTTTAAGGAAAAATTTCTTATTTTGATAAAGTATATATAACATAAAATTTGCCCTTTTGATCATTTTTAAGTGTACAGATCAGGGGCATTAATTGCATTCACAGTGTTGTGCAACCACCATCACTACTATTTCCAGACCCTTGACCTCACTCAGAATAGAAACTCAGCATTCCCATTCCTTCCTCCTCCCTCCCAGCCCCTGGAAACCTCTAATCTACTTTCTGTCTCTATGAACTTGCCTATTTTAGATATTTCATGTACGTGGGATTATACAATACTTGTCCTTTTGTGTCCAGCTCATTTTACTTGGCATATTGTTCTCTAGGTTCATCCATATGGTAGCGTGTAAAAGAACTTCTTTCCTTTTTACAGCTGAGTAATATTCCATTGTATGGACATGCCACATTTTGTTTACTCATCTGTTGATGGAGACTTGGCCTGTGTCCACTTTTTGGTTATTATGAATAATATCACAGTGAACGTGCACATACAAGTGTCTGAATCCCTCTTTTCAGTTCTTTTGGGTAGACGCCTAGGCATGGAATTGCTGGGTCATATGGTAATTCTATATTTGACTTTTTGAGGAAGCACTAAACTGTTTTCCATAGCAGCTGTACCATTTTGCACTCCCACCGGATATCTACAAGGGTTCCAGTGTCTCCATATTCTTGCCAACATCTGTTCTTTCTTTCTTTTTTTTTTTGTAGCCACCATCTTAGTGGGTGTGAAGCCGTAACTCATTGTGGTTTTGATTTGCATTTCTCTAATAACTAATGATGTTAAACATCTTTCCACATGCTTATTGGCCATTTGTGTGTCTTCTTTGGAGAAATGTCTGGTGAAGTCCTTTGCCCAGCAAGTTGGTTTCGGACCTCTGTACGGACTCGCCTCTCCGTGTTTCTCCCAGGGGTTGGAACTAGAGCCTTTCCAGGAGGAGGGAGACCAGATGCCTACAGAGAGTGGGGGTGGCTATGCAGATTCGAAGGCTCACATTCACCCTTTCGTGATTCATTTCATTCCCTCAGCCCATTTGGCACCCAGGGTAATGATGCTATTTGAGTTCTCATCAAGCAGGAAAACACAGAAACCAGTAAGTGTGTGGGATTAACCAAAGCGATGTGGCAGCAGGGGCAGATGGGGCCACTGCTATACTCCCTTAGAAGCAGACAGGCCTTTCTCAGACACCTTGCACCCCTGGGTTTCCTTGACCACCGGTGTGTTTTAGCAAACTACCCATTCCTTCCTACCAGGTAGTAGGCTGTGTGCTAGATGGAGCTGTATTTGCAGAGCATCCCAGCCAGCGCCCGGGATTTGTGGGTGCCCAGGGTCACTCACCGTCGGTGCTCCGCTGCTCGCCGGCCCTGCCAGTCCTGGGCGGTGGGCAGGGAGGCCAGCGTGGAGCTTCCAGCGGGGACAATGTGACTTCTCCCTGGGTGCTCATTCCTGGGGGAGGGCCACCGGGTCCTGGCAAGGTGTCAGGACAAATGTCACCGCCTGCGTAACTGTGAGATTAGCAGGGCAATCGATACAATGATGTTCAGGCAGCTTTGCTATCGGTTCTTCTCTGGTTTGACCTCATGTCTGTTGTGGGGCCCGAGGCGCGGGGTCCGGGGATGCTGAGCTACCTGACTTTCTGCCATGGTTTTTCTTACTGGATGTCAAGAGCCATCAGGATCACTGAAGAGAGAGGAGTTTCCCACATTGTGATGCAGCCTTCTGCCAGAGGGAGGGAGGAGGTGATGTGTCCACTAAGCAAGGAAGTTCTTTCTGGAAGCTGTATTCTTGTCCTTTATTCCTATAATAGGGCTTGTTGATCTGTAGGGTAGGGCAAAGAACCTGGAATCTCTTCCAAAAAAATGCACACAAACATTTGCTCAGGTGGCTACAGGTTCCTCTGGTCCATCGTGGTGCCCAGGTGAGGGTCTGGCCCTTTAGAGAGCACAAGCCTGGAGGTGAGGCATGTGGGGATTGGGCAGTGTCTCTGCGAAGTGGGAGTTGGGTGGGACGTAGTGAGAGGCCTGGTGGTCACGGGGAGAGAAAGAGTGTTTCATTTGGTCGTTCTAAATACCAAACACAAGGGAGTGCCAGAACAGACAGACTACGTGTGTGGCGGGGTTCAGGCTTCCAGGCGGCAGCAGCACCTGCCCATAGCAGGAAGCCCCACGGCTCATTCCTGCCCCCAGGCTCAGCCCACACTGCTTCTAAGAGGGCCTCTGTCTTTCCTTTCAGAAACAGCCCCCACGTCTGCATATTCCTCTCCAGCCCGGAGTCTGGGGGACACAGGAATCACGCCGCTGTCCCCTTCCCATATCGTGGTAAGAAATGTGTATCTATGTGCTGACGATCTTTGCTTTCTGGATCTGCTCTCACGAGCCAGGCTGCTGGGCAGCCCCTCACCTTCGTGGGTGGGGAGTACATGGTCCCGGGACTAGTCCTGTGAGCCCACCAAGCCCCTTCCCCACCCTCGGCCTGAGAAGGCTTTTTGTGGTGTGGCTGGTGCTTCCGGAGCTGTTGGCTTGGGTGCATTAGCAGGTGCATTTGGAGGCTGAGGGCCCAGAGACAGCGAGGCGTCCCTTTGGAAGGGAGCAGCCACCTCTGGCCGGGGCATCGGTGAAATGCAGCGGCTTTTTGACTGCAGTTAACTGCCCGGTCTGCAAGCCTGTGGCTGGGCTGGCTTCTGCATCAGCCGGCCCGGGAGAGAAGGCCTGGATGGGGAGGGGGCTGCAGATTGGGCATTTGCTCCCACCCTACCCCTCAATGAGAAGATGGATTTTTTGTGGGGCAGCTGTTCAAGGGATTTACACATAGCCGACCAGAGAAAAGTCCCCGGGGAGGGGTGGCTTTGCAGGAGGGGGCACCAGCTTGTCCTGGTTTTCCTGGAACTGGCTGGGTTTCACCTCACTCAGTGTCCTGGAACTCCGTCAGTCCTGGGAGACTGGGAGGCTGGCCTCCTCTGGCCTGGTCCTCACACTGCGAGTTTCCAGACGGTGCCCTGAGGGGTCCCTGTAGGAGCTTCGGGGTCACCTCGGGGTGTGTGGGGAGTGGGGGGCAGTGTGAGGAGAGGCCAGATGGATGGGGCTCTCACCCCCTGCTCTAAGCAGTACACTTCAAGCCCGACATTGATTGGTTTATAATGTGAAGTTCTGTGGATATAAAAAAAAAGTCTACACTGCTTAACAAACAAACAAACAAACAAAGGTTTGGAAACCTGGAATGGCCTGACTCACTCGCCTGATGTTGAGGAAAGGCTCTGGCCCCTGAAGGGACAGGACTTGGCAGGATCGCATGGCCAGGGCCCCTGGCATGCAGAGCCCTCCTCCCACTCACAACACGCCTGAGCAGGTGGAGTGGTCACTGGGGGTGTGGCAGGGCCACAGCTGGTAAGGCATTCTGGACAGTGTCTGCACAGGAGTTCGGGGAGGGCGGTGAGGGAAGGATTGTGTCACTCGAGGAACCACTGGGCTTCCAGACTGGATGGACTTTCCACAATTAGTCGTGTTCATAAGCAGTTGATAAAGACGGGGGCAGGCTGTGGGCAGGTGCCTTCTCGCTGGCAGCCTGGCCCTCCATTTCTCCTTGAGCCACCATGTGGGGGCTGAGGCTGGCCTGGCCTCTCCGTAGGGCTCACCACGCGGCACACTTGAGCCAGAGTTCTGTCTGTAGGGGGTGCACAGCTGGGCAGGCGGGAAGGCCAGGCTCGGCCACCCCCACCCACCCCTCATGCCTTACTCCGAACACCCGCAGAATGATGCTGACCCGAACGTCTCAGAGCAGCAGATGTTTCTGGTGGTGGTGGCCATTGACTTTGGAACCACGTCCAGTGGCTATGCCTACAGCTTCACCAAGGAGCCAGAATGTATCCACGTGATGAGGTGAGTGCTGTGGGTGCGGAGGGCCGTGTGTGGGCACCAGTCACTGTACCTGTGGAGACTTGGAGGAGGGCCCTGGGGGAGAGGAGGGGGTTCGTTTAAGAAGCGGGTGAATGGCATTTAGTAGGCGGGTCCTAGATTCTGGCCCAGCTCAGCCCAAACCCCCTGTGCCCCTTTTGGGTAAACCATTCTCATCTCTGGGCTCCAGGTTCCTGGTCTGTAAAAGCATTGCTTTAATTCTGACTCAGTGGGTCTGGGGAAGGGCCTGGACAGTGTGTTTGAAACCTGGCCTGGGTTATTCTAGCATGCATCCCGGGGAAGAGGTACTGACTTGTAGGGTATTTGTGATGGAGGAGGTCCAGGTGTCAGCTCGGCCACCTACTGTGTGACCTTATGCAACTGCTGGACCTTCTAAACCTCAGTTTCCGAATCTGTGAAATGGAGGTAGTGGCAATGTCTGTCTCACAGAGTGTGTGTGCATATGAAATGAGATTTCCTGCCAAGCTTAGTACATAGTAAAGTGTAAGCAGGGAAGGTGCTAGTCCTTAAGTGATAGTAACCAGAAAGCAGAGTGGGGTGAATTTCAGGGTCACCCTGAAGTTGCCCGGGGTCTCTTGGAACACACTCTGTGCTCAGGACACTGCTGCCCTCCTCCACCTCGCCCCGCCATACACACAGCAGCCTAAAACCGCCCTCTTGTCCTCCGCATCCACGCGTGACGGGCTGTCTGCAAGGACTCTGGTCTACCCTGGCCCCCACGCGGGCTCCGGCTCTGGTGCGGGGCTCTCCTGCAGAGTCTGTGGCCCCTCAAAGCTTTGGGGGCCAGGAGTTTATCACTCTGATTTTCCAAATCCAAGGACGGCTCTGAAGATAGATTGTGATGGGTTTTGCAACTCCTTTACCTGGCAACTGTGGAATTTAGTTATGGCTCCCAGAGTAAGATCTTATGCATTTTTGCAGTGTGCTGCTTAAAACATAAGTCATAATAAAAGTGACCCCCCCACCCCAATCTTGGCTTGGATGTCCTAAGAGGCTCCAGAGCCCCGTGGGTGTCATATCTTCAGGAAATAATGAAAAGCCAGTTCTGGTAGAGAGCCCCGATGACAGCAGAGCCCTCTTGTCTAGTCGCCACCAGGATTCTGCATCTGGGTAGCTAGATACCTGCTGCGAGGTCTGCTCTGCCGTCCCCAGGGATGGAAACCCCGAAGGGAGAAGAGCATGCTGTAAAAAGCTAGACTTCTCCATAGTTGTTTTGAGAAATGTTATTTCGAAGGGATCGTCTTGCAGTGAAATTGAAAAAAAAAAAAATGAAGAGCAGACATAACACTGAGATTGCTTGGGAGGGATCCACACAGTATCAGCAGCGCTCAGGCCTCTAGAGAGATCATCTCTGTTCTTGTAGAGAGTTTGGAGGGAAGCCCTACCTGGATTTTAGTTCAATCAGAACATGTTAACCTTGATACAGACTGACACAATTATGGTTGAGAAAATTCAATTTTTTTGTATGTATTTTAATAGGAATGAAGGAATAAAAATTGGAAGGGAAATAACTCAGGAGGTTCATCGCCTAGTGAAAATGTCAGTTGTTAATGGGAACAGAAAGTCCATTTGTGAGCGGTCATGTGGGGAGTGCCCAGGTGCCCGGCGTCTGGGGTGGTGAGCATCCCTGGGTCTCAGTGCACTCATCATGGGGACTTTGGCTCCCTGGGTAGAAGCCTGCATCTTGATGGAGCTTGACTGGGGAACCTGCCAGGGATGATTCCAGACCCAGCTGTGTGGCAAATCCAGGTTGGCTCTCTACCTGGATTGTGATGGTCCCACCGAAGCTTAACGGTGCTATGTTGGGAGCAGGTGTGAGCTCAGCCACCCTCCCAGCAGGCCAGGGAGAGGCGTGCTTCCTCTAGTACAACATGTCGCCACCAGAGGCTTCTCGTGGTGGTCCCGTGGCTAGTGGCAGCACGGGAGCGTGCTGCAGAGTCAGAACCTGGGAGAGAAGAGAGCATCCTGGCCGCCTTGGCAGATGCGGCTTCTCCTCTCTTCCAGAGGAGGGGAGGCACCAAGTCACTTGCCTTCTTCACTCTCCTTCCTGTTCTCCTTTCTACCTAAGAGAAGGAAGGAAGCTTCCCTGGGGCTCCACCTACTCCCTGCCCCACTCCCTTACCCCCCCATGAGCTCCAGGATGGACTCCCATGGTCTCCGCCAATCTGTCCATACTCACCTCTCTCCTCTTCTGGGGCCTCTTCAGCACTCAGCCTTGCAGGAATAGTCCTTTCCCACCTCCCTGTTCCCATCAGGGCTCTCCTGCCTCCTTGTCACCGTGGCTGTTACCCTGGTATGGAGGCACCCAAGTCTGTCTCTCCTCCTGGATCTCTCCTGTGAACCCCAGGCTTCCATCTCCAGCCCCCTCCTGGGAGTTGAGTGCCAGCAGGTTCACCTGGAGTTCCCTCGTTCCCTGCGGTCTCCTTGGTTAACCAGGGCTCCAGGTTTCTGGGAAGGGGGCTTTCTCCTCTGGGCTCCCAAGTGGGGGCCTCTGGTGCCTTGGCTCCTGCTCACACCATGGCCATTTGGCTTGGTTCTCCCTCGGGAAGGCTCATCCTCCTCCATCCCTTTCCTCTGCCCTTGTTTAAGCCCCCTTGCCTCTGCTCCCAGACGAGGCCTGAGGCTCCTCCTCAGCCTCCTGGCTTCCTGTCTAGTTCAGTGTGCTCTGGTCAACCCCAGCTCTGATTCTGCCATGCCCCTGCCCTCCAACCTTTAGTGGCTTCCCGTTACTCACTCATTAATTCTCTCCCTTCCCAGGGTTCTCTTCAGCCTGGTTCCATACACCTTCCCAATCTTGTTTCTCACACTTCCCATTTACACACTCCTTCTCCACCCAAGCCAATCACTTAGCATCCCCGCACAAGCCCCATGTTCTCCTACCTCTGAGCAGCCTGCAGTGCCCTTCCATCCTTCAAGATCCTGGCAGCTCTGTGTCAGTCCTTCGAGTCTCTCCTTAGCCCTGCATTCCTCCCCTTGCCCTACCATCCGGCACCTCTGCCTTCTCTGACCTCTAGGGCATTTCCTGGGTCCCTCGTTCCCATGTGATAAGGCAGGTATTTATGTATTTGTTTATACCCTACCTTGTTTTAGAGAGGACACAAGCCGGCTATACATTTGTTTTGAGGGCTTGCAAATTAAAAAAAAGACCCCGCCCCCCACAAAAAGACATAACCTCCTAGGTTGTGAGTTATTTGAAGGCAGAGACATAAAGGTTTCGTGTCTGTGTCGCCAGCACCCGGCACACAGTAGGTGCTTAGTGAACATGGAGTGGATGGTCAAAGCAGACCTCGTTCCTGAGCAAGACCCTGGTGCTTGCCCCTTTCCTTCTTCTCTCTGACTGAAGTCGGGTCTCTGATCACCACTCACCCAACAGAACCAGAGTGCACCTGTCGCGGCTCCTGTGCGCACCCACATCTGTAAGAATCGTGCACACAGTAGGTGCTCCAGTCAGTGCCGCCTGAACTAGGATTATGAAGGAAGGTTCTCATAACCTCTGCCTTTCCTTGATGTCAGGCGATGGGAAGGGGGCGACCCTGGGGTGTCCAACCAGAAGACTCCGACCACTATCTTGTTGACTCCGGAGAGGAAATTCCACAGCTTTGGGTATGCCGCCAGGGACTTCTACCATGATCTGGATCCCAACGAGGCCAAGCAGTGGCTATACCTGGAGAAGTTCAAGATGAAGCTGCATACCACGGGGGTAAGCGAGCCTCTCCCTGGCCCCAAGTCCTCCGCATTGGAGAGCCAAGGTTCCTCCAGCCCCGAGGTCTTCCCAACCCAGGAAACCCTCAGGCTTCTCCTGAGTAGAAAGTAACATCCATTTACCTTGATTTTAGAAGCAACCTGGAGCACACAACACTTTTGCGGAATACACGGCACTTTCTGATACACACATGGGCAGGGAGATATTCAGAATATTTAACAACGTGTGTGCCTTGGCAACTGACTGGTCAGAGTGGACACTGGCTGGAGCCCCGGCCGAGGGGGCTGGGGGCTCTCTGCTATGCCAGGAGATCCCTCTGCAGTTGCTGGGTTGTTGGGAGATCCGGGGATTCTGAAGGCAGGCCTTGGGGGCCGGGGGCATTTGGGGGACCCAGGGCAGTGGCGATTAGCTAACAAGTTTAGAAGTAAACCTGTGTGGGGAAGTGGTAGCTCAGGAAATCAGGTGCCCAATTTATTGGAGGCTCAACTCCCAGCATGCCAGTGTTCTGTAAGCTGTCTACATCAGCTAGGCCCCTCTCCCAAGATTCATGGAAAAGTTTGGATCACAGGATAGGATTTTTTTTCAGTGTGAGCATTACATCCCACAGATTTTCTTTAATTTTTGGTACTTAGAGATTCAGGATGGCAGTGGGTGTTTAAGACCATGGACCCTGGGACCAGACGGCCTAGATTTAAATCCTACCTCTGAAACTTGCAAGATGCTTAATCCAAGTGACTTAACCTTTCTGGGCCCTGTGTGGAATAGAGACACTCCAGGGCCTTCTTTGTGGGGATGGTGTAAAGATTAAAGGAATCAAAATACCTAAAGCTCTTAGAGCTGTGCTGGTACTAAGTTCTAGTCAGTTGCTCGCTCCTATGATTATTGCTTTCATTTGTCTGCTGTTAACGTGCTTGCAGATGACAAAACCCATGTTAATGGAGACCCTGCAGCCAGCACCCTGCCTCTGAGGCCCTGTGTGCATCGGCGTGGCTCTCTGTGAAGCAGACAGGTTCCTGCTAGAAATGCATCCTCCCCGTTTCACCTGATGGCGGTCACCGCCCAACAGCAGTCTTGTGTGGTGGAACACGGGAATTTCTTCCGTTTTGAGTTTTTTCAGTTCTGACCCTCTGGCTTCCTGGTGGTTGGTCCCCTTTCTGAACCTGGGAGTTGCCCTGCCCCCAAATCTGGGGTGTCTTTGTTGAGCACTGGGGGTGGGGTGGCTGGTTGGGAAGGGGGGGCTTGTGCCGATGGGTCAGGACAGCCGACAGGCTCCACGAGGCCGCTTTAGTAGCTTTGTGCCCCTTCGAACTCTAACCGCAAGCCTCATTAGCCAGCTGGATCAATCCGGAGGCTGATTTTTTTTTTTCCCCCTGGTAGTAATGAGCCTCTGGGTTCGGGCTGCGTTGGGGGCTTCCTCCTGATGTTCGCTCCCACTCTCTGTCCATCGCCACCCTGTGAGCACTTTCTTGTCATTTTTGAATGACCCCAGTCCAGCCAGTGTCTCACAGGCATCCTGCACCCAAGGGACCGGACTGCTTTAGCTACTGGCGGAGGAAGGGAGGTGGTGATGCTGCACTCCCAAGAGGATTAAGCACAGGTCTTAAAATAGGAGCTCTTCTATTTTGGCGACTCGGTTGGCAGCTCATCGGGGAATGAAGGCTTCATGTCTGTTTAGCATCATGCACGTCAGCGAGTTGGCGTGATGCTTTAGGCCTCTGCTGGGGCTCCCGAAGGTGACCATGTGTGTCTGGGTGTGGAAATAGTATGTCAACTGCATCAGCAATGGTGCTTGCTTCCTTTCTCTTCTCCTGGGCTCTGTCGCCTCCCTGAAACCTCTGCTTCGTGAGGATCCAGGGGAGAGAGAATGAGAGGGAGGGAGGGAGGGAAAAGTGAGAGGTAGGGGCTGAAGGAAACAGCCAGGGCCCCTGACACAATAAGGGGACAATGCTGCCAGGCCCCTTGGTGGGAGATAGTGGAAGACACACTATCCCAGTCTACCAAATATCAGGAAACAGAAATGTGGCTCACTGGCTTCCCCAGATCTCCAAGTAGCAGTTCCCAAAGCCACAAGGTACGTCTCTCCTCCCTCATCTTACTGTTCCTTCCTCTCCCGCACCAGGACCTCACCATGGATACAGACCTAACGGCAGCAAACGGCAAGAAAATCAAAGCCCTTGAAATCTTCGCGTACGCCCTGCAATACTTCAAGGAGCAGGCGCTGAAGGTAGGACACGTGCCAGGGCCCTGGGGCAGGGGGAGGCACACCTGCCAGCCAGGCGAGCAGGCACGGCCTCCAGGGACGAAGCGTAGGACTTACATTCAGAAAGCAGGATGCACCCTCATGCCCTGCTGGCAGGAATGGAAAGTGGGGCAGCCGCCGTGGAAAAGTCTGAGAGTTCCTCAAAGGTTAAACACAGGGCTACCACATGACCCAGTGATTCCACTCCTCAGCATATACCCAAGAGAGATGAAAACGCATATTCACACAAAAACCCGTCTATGAGCGTCTACAGCAGCAGTATTTGTAATAACTAAAAAGGGGAAACAACATGAACGTCCATCAATGGATGGATGGGTTACTAAGTGAGTCTATCCCTGCAAGGAGATATTAGTCAGCCATAGAAAGGAATGACTCACGGACGCCTGCAACCACATGGAGAAACCTTGACAACGTTACTCTGAGTGAAAGAAGCCAGCCAATCCTGTGTGATTCCATTGTAAGAAATGTCCACATAGGTGAATCCCCAGAGAGAGGAGGTGGATTGGCAGGTGTCCGGGGCTGGGGGAGGGCACAGGAGTGACTGCTTATAGGAATGGGGCTTCTCTTTGGGGTGACAGAATTAGAGAGTGTGGTGGTTGCACAACCTTGTGAATATACTAAAACCACTGAATTGTATGCTTGAAAAAGGAGAATTTTATGAGATGTGAATTCCATCTCAGTAAAAAAGATAGGCAGAAGACATGTGCGGCAGCTGTGGGGTCTCAGGTGAGGTGCTTAATTTCTCTGATACCCACATTCCTAACCGGAAGAGTGGGGCAGGTCGTGTATCTTGTGGGTTGTTTTACCAGACATGAGGCACCTCCCTCAGAGCTGGGCACAGTGAACTCCTGGCAAATGGTTGCTGTCATCCCTTCTCCCTGTCCCCCCAGGCCCCAGGGGAGAAGCTGGTGCCTGAGTGAGCCGCTTGGATGACTGTTGCAAAGTTTGTGCAGAGATGGCCCTGGATGGGGAAGAATTGGCTAATTTCTAAGTGGAATACAGCTGTCCACTTGGTGTCTCTGTCCATGGGCATGGTGATGAGTGGGTGTGAGTCAGATGCATAAAGAACCTTGTGTACTGAGCTTTATCCAAAAAGAATTGGGAACTTTAGAAGTATTTGGTATTATGTGATCACTACAAGAAATTTAGTGAACTCTAGAAATAGAATAGAGTTCTAGAAATAGGGCCTGAGGGAAACAAAGACATGAGAATGTAATACTGCTTTCATCCATTCAAGCACCTCCTCCTCCTCCTCCTTCTCCTTCTTCTTCTTCTTCCTATTCCTCTTCTCCTCCTCCTCCTCCTTCTTCTTTTTGGAGTACTTTCTGTGTGCCAGATAGTTCTGGCAGCATTGAAATCAACAGAGTGTGAAGGAGTATGTCGTCAACAGATTGGTGTTGTGAGGGGGTCATTGTGGGTGTTTGGTGTTTGGTGAAGACAGAGGTTCTGCCCAGTGGGCTGCAGTAGGGAAGGCTCCCTGGAGGAGGTGCATCAGGGGCCTCTCACTGGCAGCAGCTGGAAGGGTGGGTGTTTTGAGCTGGTAGAATGGCACAAGACGATTGCAGGGGAAAGGAAACACAGCAGACAGCTCTGGAAAGCGGGCAGTTTGGGTTGAGAGAAGGGCAGGGCTGTGGGATCGAGTGGGAACAGCAAGCTTGGGTCAAGATCTTGCAAAGCCTCAAATGCCAAGCTAATGAACTCCTTGGGTCACGGGGAGCCATCCAAGGATTTCTAATAGGGGAATGCCATGGCCACAGAGATAACATTTGAGGGAGGGAGACCACAGCATCCCCAGGGCCTGCAGGGTGGAGGAAAGCCCTATGGAAACAGTGGACTCAGATCCTGAAGCAGGTGTTTCTGAGGGCTCTGAGACTCGGAGAGTGGGGGGTCACTTGGGGAACGTGAAAACCAAGAAGAAAGAGGGGGCCAGGGCGGAGGGAAGAAGTAGATTCTGGGAAATAATTCTTCTACCGGCGGTGGGGGACGGAGAGGGGAGAGGACAGAAGGAAGGAGTAGGAGGGAGACGGAGTGTAAAGGAGAGCACATGATTCTAGGCGGCAACAAAGTGGACTAGGAGGCACAGAGATCCCGAAGAGCAGGGATCTCAGAGGCATGGGCTCAGCACCTGGTAGCCCAGACAACCAATGAAGGACTGTCTGCCTATCGTGTCTGTAGCCATCTGGAGAAAGGTGAAGGAGCAGAGGGAGGCCCATGACTGCAGGGCCTTTGGATTAGGAGGAAGAGGCATGGGGATCTGGGGAAAATTTAGGACCTGAGAAAGTCCATGACATTGGCTTGTGTTTCAGGTTGGTCAAGGGGAAAAGAGTGAACAGCCCATCTCAGAAGGGGAGGGGAGAGATGGAGGGGGGCAGAGGGCCAACAGGGAGTGTAGGAGGGTGTGTGGTTTCGAACATGTCAGCTCAGCCAAAAGCTTTGGGAACCTGGTTGCACATTCTCCCAGCAGGGAGCATGCTATAAAGAAATTCCATGAAGAAAAGCTTTCTGAGGAGATTTATGAGCACCGGGCCCTCCACGAGAGGGCTGGCTGGTATTGGAAGGACAGATGGCTTCAGAGGAGGGGACTGTTGCACGTTGGACCAGGATAAGCAAAATAGAGTATCTACTAAAGCATCGTATCTCAGGAATCACAGGCATGAAGCAGGCTCATCGTTCATGAAGGAAAGCAAGTGAAAAGGGCCTGACATACTGAGATGTTTAATTAATGGCAGGGTCCTTTCCCTTCTAAGCTGTACTCTATCCACTGGTGAACAAACAGCTTTAAACAACCTTCCCTACGGCCAGGGAAGCCCATCATTCACCTTTTGAGCCTTTTCCTGTTTAAAGAGTTTAAAATAGCCTGGATGGTGCTCGGCGGCCTGCTTAGAACACTTCCCAACACACATCACTACTTGCCTGCCTTTAAAGCCCAATGCAGACCTGCAAGGAAATAAAACATGATAAAAACAAAACAAAACAAAACCCGCTGTTTCACGCAGAGGTGTTTTTAAAAACATGTTTAAAAAAAAAAGTATACTAGACGTACTTAACACTGCTGAGCTATGTGCTTAAAAAAAGGTTCATGCGGTAGATTTTACATTATGGGTTATTGTCACAATTAAAAATAAAAAAAAAATTTTTAAAGGGCAAAAAAAAAAAAGTTTACGGACTGATCACATAGGAAGTTAATTCCGTGTCACGGTAGCTCCGTCCCAAGGTATCTACTGAAACAAGAGAGGAAATGAGATACCTATCAGAAGAAACAAATTGCCAGCCTTTTAATCTTCTGAAACCTGTCCCCAGAACTGACTCCGACGCAGATGCGCGTTGGTGCATGTTTAGGTTTGATTTCAGATTTGTCTGGTGAATGTGGCAACTGGAGGGGAAGGGCAGGAAGGAGCAAGCTTTATCAGAGGTCTTCTCTGGGCGAGCTTCTTCCAGGTGTTCTCAATCTCCCCAGAAACACAGAGCATTACTTTTATTCTCCCCATTTTACAGATGGGAATACTGAGTCTGAGAACTATTCTAGAGACGTATTTTGTCTGCATGGACTCGGTGTGAACCTCTGATGCTTCTGCCAATCCCTTTTATCTGTGTGGTTCCTGCTGATGTGGTTTTAATCTTAACCAAAAGCTAAGGGCAGCATAGTTCTTGCTTGGGTCATGTTCATATCCCTCCCGTCCTGCTAGGAGAACTGCCCTGAGGTGCTGGCCTTGCCATAAGGCAGAGGACAGTGACATCTCTGACAACAACTGCTACCAGGTGTTAAGCAGTGCTATGGGGCAGGCCCTGTTCTAGATATGAACCACATGTAACAACTTAGTTAAGACCTTGGCCTTTAGAGTTAAGATATAACTGGGTCTGGGTCCAAATTTTGGCTCTGTCAATTTCCAGCTGTGCAGTCATCAGAAGGTACTGCACGTATCTAGGACTCAGGTTCCCATCTGTAGAAAAGACACATAGTTATCATCCCTTCCTAGTGGGATCCTGGAACTAATGGAGATGAGGTATGCAAAGTGCTTAACACAGAGTAAGCTCCCAGTAAATGTAGCTCTCAGAAAATTATCACTCCTCCCAACAACAGTGTGAGCTAGGTATTATTATCCCCATTGTGCAGATGAGGAAACTGAGGCCTGGGAGGCTGTTACTTGCCCTGTCACATGACTCAGAAGTGGCCAAAGGCCTCTGACCTGCCTGCCTCCTGCTTGCAGTCACGTTCAGTGAGTGAAAGGAGCAGAGCTCCCTGCTTGTGGAATAATCAGGAAACAGACCCTTGCTCCCTGACACTAGTAAGTTCAGGAGGCTGTAGAGTAGATGCCCCAAGAGTTCATGGCCAGGAAGCCTGGAATTCTCCGTGAAGCTGTAGGAGGACCAGCTGTGTCCTCTTGACCTGCTGCATTTCCCTTGGCTTTAGGAGCTGAGTGACCAGGCGGGGTCGGAGTTCGAGAACTCTGATGTCAGATGGGTCATCACAGTGCCTGCCATTTGGAAACAGCCCGCCAAGCAGTTCATGAGACAAGCTGCCTATCAGGTGAGTGTGGGGGTGGGGCGGGTGGCGGCCCAGGATGCCCATGGGGGTGACTGTCACCCCACTCAGGTGTCTCCAGCACTCACAGGCCTCCCTGGGAGGCAGTGAGGGGTCTCCCACTGCCCAGGGGACATGAAGCCTTCCTCCTGGGGGAGGAATGGGGGTCAGGTCCATAAGGGTTGGGCTGGGCTCAATTTTCTTTCTGGCATTATACCTTCTACACCGTAAGTTCCCCAGGGCTAGGATTTCAAACTGGGGTACAGAGACATTTTGCCGTGGGTGAATGGACCCTCAGGAAAAAGCTTAGGCAATAAGAATGTTTGAAGAAGAAAGGAATAAAGAGAAAGCCGATGGCCGTGACCAAGCACAGCAGCTTGGTATAGAGGTTGAAATCTGCATCTGTACAGCTGGGTCATAAGGGAAATAGAATGATCTTCTGCACGTGTCACCTTGTGAGTAACACGGGAGCACAAGGGTCAGGGGGTGGTGAGGCCACCAGACCCGTGTGGTGGCAGACACCTGGATGAGGGCAGTGGCATGGCTGAGGAGTGTGCCAGTCAGCATGGCGCCATGGATAGAACATTCTAGTGCCAGTGGCCAGCCCATTCCTCCTGGGCGTTGGGGGCATCCCTGGTACCATGGACCCTCATGGCCGCCAAGCCTCACACTGTCCGCAGGCCACGTGTGCCATGACGGGGCTTCCACGAGGGTCTGACTCCATGGCAAGGATGGCTGGCCGTGCTGACCTGCCATTCTGACCCCAAGGTCAGAGCTGGCTCCCGCTGTACTTAATCCCTTGGGTTAATGAAAGGCCACCCTGGGGCCTGGGCCCACTCTGTGCAATGAGAGTCAGTTTCCAGAGCCTTCAACCTGAGCTGGGCTGGGGAAAGTCACCAACGTAATGGATGTTCCCTTGCCCGAAGCCACACCTCCCAGGGGACAGTCACTGCTCCTGGGGGACATGTCTCTGATGTTGAGTTTGTAGCCACAGGTATGAACTTTCCTTTCAAAATACCTACCGATCAACCCTGAGTACCAAATGCAGCAAAATGGCCATGGTTACCTTGGTGTCATGAATTGTACTCACCACTTGGAGCTTTACCCCAGGTGACAGGTAGAATTCCAGGGAGAGCAATGTCCCTGCTCCACCCCCACCCCCAATCTCCCCACTTCCCCTTCTTCCCTCTGCCGCAGGCTCTCCTCTGCTCTCCCCTTCAGCGTGAGAATCTGGCTCAGTCTACGTAGCTGCCAAAAATAGATTTGTTTTTTAGGGATGAAGGAAGAGGGTGGAAGTTCCAGAAAGAGGCAACTTCTTTAAAAAGGAAGAAACCCAAATGCAGTTTTGCTGTCCACAGAAGCCCTGGGCATCCTGGAGCTTGTCCTCAGTGCCAGCCTTCAGGCAGCATCCAAAGACGGGACGCTGGGACACGGCTGTCTGTGGAGACACAGCCAGCGTTCTGACTTTGCACAGGAAGGAGACTCAGGATTCAGGGCTTTGACTCTTGTTTTCCCACAGGAAAACTGCAGCAACAAACATGTGACCCGGAAAAGGGTCAGTTCTTATTTTTAGCCTGAAACAGAAAGAGGTGCAAGGACTGGGAGATTTGTCAGGGCTGTTGGAGCCTTGGGCTGGCTCTTCCTAAGGACTGCCTCTCTGAGAAGTGGGGCCTGGCGGGGAGGCCCCTTGTTCTTGGGTCGAGGAGGAAACCAGGCAGATGGAGGTGTGGTGCCCTCCAGGGTTTGGCAGAATCAAAATGGCACCTCAGAGGGGTGAATGTAACCAGCATTTATGGACGTGGGGACTTTTCTTTGTGAAGCCCAGAGATACTCTGCAGACTGCCCCATCCTTTGGTTGTTGGGTCACTTCTGATGGGTGTGGCATTTGTGCAGCTTAATTTTTGGCTCTTTGTAATTCTGATTTGATACTTGTGTCGAGTTTAGTCACTGAACGGCTTTCAAGATGGCAGGGGCCATTCAGTCATTCTTGGTTTACTCATTCATTTATTCACTAAACAAACCCATACTGGGGTCTTCTGTGTGCTGGGACATGTAGGTGCTAGATTCATATCCTGTGTACCAAGATGAGGCCCCACTCTCAGGTTGCTCATAGCTGAGTGGTTCATCGCAGCCTTTTGTACTTCAGAGAGAGGGGCAGAGGGAGTTATGGGGCACAACAGTTTGCCGACTAGTCTATGGTATCTTTTAGCTCGTCTTCTGGAAGAGTCCCCATGACGATATGGAAATGAAGCGTGGCCAGAATTAGCATCTCTTCAATTCTCTCTCCTCATCCTCCATTAATTGTACAGAATAAGAAAAATGTGTACCTCTGATAGTTAATTTTATGTGTAAACTCGACTGGGCCAAGGGGTACTGAGATATTTGGTCAAACATCATCCTGAGTGTTTGCTGTGAGGGTATTTTTGAATGAGATTAACATTTAAATTGACTGACTAAATAAAGAGATTGCCCTCCCTAAGGCGGGTGGGCCTCATGCAATCAGTTGAAGGCCAGACTAGAACAAAACTCCCTAGAATAAGAGGGGATTCCTACTGCTCACCTGCCTTCAAACTGGAACATTGTTTTTCTCCTCCCTTTGGACTTAAGTCTGAAACAGCTCTTCCTGGGTCTTGAGGCTGCCGGCAAGGGAACTATCCCGTAAGCTCTCATGGTTCCCCAGCTTGCTGACTGTAGATCTTGGGACTTGTCAGTCTCCATAATGGTGTGAGCCAATCCTTTACAGTAAATCTCTTTCTGTGTTTACATACATCCTACTGGTTCTGTTTCTCTGGAGAATGCTAATACAGAACCTGAGCACAAAACATAGTTCTTGGGTCAGCCAGCTTCTGAGATCTGAGGATGCCCACCATCCCTTGCACCCAGAGTGCTGCCCATCAGCCTGGCTTCAGAAGGAAGAGCTGGAAGGATGAGGTAGGATGGTACTCTGTCAGGGCAGCTAGGAAACTGGTCACATCTCCCCTGCTTGCATGCAGGAAATGGAGTCCCTCCTTCAGGCCCGTTGGCGGCCCTGTGAGCCCAAGTTCACGGCACAGTCAGATAGGGGCTGAGCTTCATTCCTCCACTGGCCTGGTGGAGGGGGAAGAGACCTGGATGCAGAGCAAGAGATGAGGCTCTGGGCAGCATCTCTCATGGAAGAGGCAAGCCTGGAGGGGCTGGTTCTGGGGCCTCCACTCAGAAGTCTGGGATTCAGTGCTGAGGTTGGTGCGGGCTGCAGAGCACTTTATGGATACAGTTTTATCTGTGAAACTCCAAAAACTCCTCTTGTGTCAAATGCTTGTTGAAAAAGTAGGTTTAATCTCTATGTTTTATAATTCACGGCCTCAGGGCCCCGTTAGACCCTCTCAGAGCATTCGCTGAACAGCCTGTAGCAGGAAGAAGAGCTGATCCCTCTTCTGAGGCCTTCAGGAAAGATCTAGAATGGGAGACAGTTCCACTGAGTCTTGAGGGATAGTCATTATGGGTAGGAAATAGTCCAGTTGATTTCTAGAGGTGGTTTGCCGGAAACGTGTAACCCTAGTGGGTTCTGGAAACCTGTCAAATAAAAGATAATCCCTCACGGAGGATGATCTCCCCTGACGTGGAGTTAATAGCTGGTACTGCAGTGAAAAATAATCACATCGGGGGGTGGGGGGGGACTGCGGTGGCTGACACCCAGACCTGGTGCAGCTGTAGCCCCAGGCGGCTGGACGTGCGCCCCGCAGAGCGTCCCCCCGTCTGGCCACCTTCACGGCTGTGCACGCGTCCCTGGACGGCTTCCCTGGCTGACAGCAGGGCTGAGGGGCAGACGAGTCGATATCAGGGCCCATGTCCCCAGCCTCCTCGAGTGTGGTTTTCTGCTCCTCCCAAGTGGGGCTCGGGACCGGGAAGCAGGGCTCTCAGAGGGGCTATGGTGATACTCCCGCTGCCCCAGGTTCCTGGAGGACTCAAATGGGATAGGGCATTCTTGGTGCAGACCCTTTCTGTTGGTAGCCTCCCCAGGTCATGTCAGCAATAGGCTCTCATTCGTGTTCTGGAGACAAGGGCCAGGAAATCACAGAACGAAGGCTGACTGGAGGGATGGCGGGTTCATGCACTCAGCAGCTACCCCCCGAGCACCTGCTATGTGCTGACCTTGGAAAGTAGCATCTTGCAGGAGAGGCTCGGCGCATCTGCATGATCTGTAGCTGGAGATGGAATAGGCTAAGTGCTCGGCCAGCCGGGGCGCAGGGGAGGGAGAGCTCACGTGGAACAGCGGCTGCAAGGTACCAGCTTCAGAGGCAGAACTAGCCAAAGCAGTGAGCGCTCCCCTGCTCTGGTGGGCCCAGGCCTGGTCCCAGGGCTCCTGACAGTTGCCAGGCTGTGGGCTTCTGCTGAGAAGGACTGCAAGTGTTTATGCAGAAAGCCTACCCTTCCAGGCACTGGGTCCTCCTGCCCAGAGATAAAGACATCTGAGTTTTTGAGCATCTGGCAGATGCTTTTGCATTTCCTCTTTTTCTTGGAGTCCACAAGCAGCTCTGGGACCCCTCCTGGGGAGAGGGAACCTGGCAGAGCCCGCTGCCTCTTGCCTCAATCCTTCAGCTCTCCACTATGGCCCCCATGGGAGTTGCTATTGGGACATGGCCCCTCACTCTCTCTGGGGAGCAGGACGGGGGCTGGTTCGAGCAAAGGAGTGTGGTTAGCTTGTCCTGGGCCTCTCACTGAGCTTACCTTCCCCACTCCCCACCCTTGCTGGTTGGAGGTCCTCTGCCCCCCTGCTCCCCATCTGCATCCTCTCCTGGGTACCATGGGGAACCCTCTGTGGAAATGGGTCAAAGTTTTTGCTGCGGGGCTGAGGCCAACCCAGCTGGGGAGGGACAGATGAAAGGCCTCCCCTGAGGGGTGTAGCCATGCTGTTTGGGGCATTTTGGGGCAGCCTGTGTGTCTTTCATGTCTTCAGGATTCGGGAGCATCCCAGGGGGAAGCTGGATTGTGTAAATCACATACCTCAAGTTGTGTAACTGTACTCAATGCTCTTCGCTTCTCTGGAATTCCTGATTTGGCTTTCTGTTTAAATACTTCACATCTGTTTTTTTTTTTTTTTTTAAGATTTATTTATTTATTTATTTGAGAGAGAGAGAGAACGGGAGCTCAGGGGGAGGACCAGAGGGAAGGGGAGAGAGAGAATCTCCAGCAGACTCCCTGCTGAGCACAGAGCCTGACTCGGGGCTCGGTCTCAGGACCTTGAGACCATGACCTGAGCCGAAACCAAGAGTTGGACACAACTGACTGAGCCACCCCGGCCCCCCGATACTTCATGTCTACCTCAGAGGGGCTGTTCACGGTCTCAGGGAAGGTGTGGAGAGGGATGAAGGCATTGAGTTTTTCTTCTTGTTCCCTCCTGTCCCCCACTGCTGGGTCCAGGCCGGCCGGTGCTCTTCCTGGCCACGTGGAGGGAGACTGCCTGGCCGGTGGACATCCTAGTGGGACACAGGGCAGTAGTGAGCCTTTCCTCCTTCCCACTGGCCCCGGCACGGCCCTGGCGCTCTGCATTCCTCGCCCCTCCTCCCGGGCTATTTTCCCTTCTGAACTTTGGAAAAGCATCTTAAACAGTTTGGCCTGGTTGTTTCTTTGCTGCTAGCTTTTCCTTCTTCCTCACACCATTTTCTGGAAAGCTGGACCTGCTAGCTTCTATTCTAGGAGGCCCTTGACTTTACAAACCCACGAAGGAGGGAAAGTCAGTCTTCGAGAGCGGTCCTTTAGAAGGGGGCTCCTCTTGGTTTTATGTTGGATTTCTTCTGGGATCCTGGGGCTTAAGGTTCAGAGGTTTCAACTTTCCTGGTGACACTTAGGTCTGTAAACCTTGTTCCCTGTCATTGGGCACTGCAGCGTCAGCTGTCTTGGCGCTAAGGATGTCTAAGTGACCCTGTGGGAGGCTGGGGGAGAGGGACTTTTAGTCCCTTGGGTTGGGAGTAGTGGGAAATCTTGTTATGCATCTGGGTCAGTGGCCTGTTGATGGGCATGCAGGCCTTCTGCACCCAGGGACCAAACTGATGGGCATAGATGCTGCCCATGTGTAGTTGGTTAACAGCTGAAGGCACAAAGCAGTAAGGAGGCAGTTTTTCTGTGGATGGTGTAGGTTTTGTAAAGTCAGTCTTCTAGAAGGGGTTCTACCACTTGTGAGGCATCTGGTATCGGCAGGGGGGAGATTTAAGTCACCTGCCTGCCAATGGTTTCTCATTAAGACACAGTTAACTGGTTCATTTGGGGGTACGGTTATTACGGAGAATTGTCTACATGCAGTTAGAGGTGGGATACCATCTAGTGCTGTCCTGGATTTACTGGGTAAAGAGATCGTACCTTGAAACCAGCAGAAGGAGGAGCATTAGAGACACCCTGGGAGTTTCGTCCAAGCCGAAAGGCCTGGGTCCCACCCTGGTACCTGAAGTCAACAAGAGCAGGAGAACCAAGAACCAATTAAAGAGCTGGTCTTCGAGGCTTGAGACTGGGTCTGGGCTTGCTCGGCCACGTACAGGATGGATACATTTGAGCCTGAGACTGTCCGGGTTTCAGCACTGAGAGTCCATGTCCAAGGAAACCCAGGACCATTGGTCACCCTACCTCTCTGAGCCTTTGTTTCTTTCTGCATAAAGTGAAGGAGTTGTACAAAAGGCCAAGAAGGGCCTTTGCATTTTTAATATTCTAACTGGAACCCTCTCCCTCCCTTGTCCAATAACTGAATCTTCTAAGCCCCTTCCATCTGTGACTCTAGGCTGTGACTCTAGAGAGGTCACTGTACATGTGTGACATTAGGCAGACTGTTCACCCCTGATCTACAAGATGAGTCCACTACACCTTATGGGCTTGGTGTAGAACCAGAGTCTCCTCCGAAGTGGGTGTGCTGCGAGGGCAGCACCCCGAAGTTCCCTAGGGAATAGCAACAAAGCAAACACAGTGGTGAAGGACACAGCGTGTCTCTGTCCCGTCGTGCGGGCGACCAGGAAACCCTTGGGGCTTGAACGGCTTCAGCGAGCAAGCGAGGCCTCACGCTTTAGTTCCTAGGCCACGGGAGGTGGGCAGGGACCTGGTAGAGGCCATGCCAGGCTCAGGTCTCCATGTGCCCTCCGAAGGGTGGTCCCAGAGCCCCTTGGCCGGCTCTTGTAAGGGGCTGTGACTGGAATAAGCCAGACGTCACAGAGCAGAAGCATGTCTGCTATTAAAGGGGTAACGGCTTTGAATAAAGTAACTGTCAGCTGCCTTTTGACCCATATTCTAGAAAGCATGAGACTGTGTGGGATTCCAGGAGGGCTTTCTCCCAGAGCCCCGGAGCCCTCCTTGGTGTGCTGGAGACACGTCAGATTCCCAGACAGCCAAATCCGATGCTCACGTAGCTGAGGTCCAGGGATGGCCCATTTGTTTCCTGGGCCACCAAAGATTGGGGTCTGCCTTTAGATCGTAACCAGAAACAGACCACCTGCCTTCCATCTTCTGACAGTTTTCAGAGTTTGGGGGCATTTCCCTCTTCATGCTGCTCAGTTCTGGGCCAAGCAAGTCCCAAATGAAAGAGGCCACAGGGCCCAGAGAGCCCTGCATTTCCCAAAGGCACCCACACATTTTCTTTGGCTCCTCCGCAGTGTTTGGGGACCCGGCCTGGGGCTCAGCACCCCATCACCACTGAATGTAATCCCCGCAGGGGTCTGTGGAGGGAATTTCCCAGACAGGCAGAGCACAAGTGTCCCTTCCTGGAGGGCGTCAGCGCAAGGCGTGTGTGTCCTCAGAGTGGTCCTGCCTCTGTCTTCCAGGCAGGCCTGGCCTCCCCCGAGACCGCCGAGCAGCTCATCATTGCCTTGGAGCCCGAGGCGGCCTCCATCTACTGCCGGAAGCTGCGGCTGCACCAGATGATCGAGCTGAGCAGCAAGGCCGCGGTCAACGGGTACAGCTCCGGTGACACAGTGGGAGCTGGGTTTGCACAGGGTACCTCCTGCTCTCTCTCTCCCCTCCCTGCTCGCTCCCCTCCCAGCCCTGCATGGTTCTTGGCCCTGATTACTGAAAGATCCTTAGCACCGTAATGAAGAATCAAGATGCCCCCAGAGAGGTCAGCTGTAAGCACCTCTGTCCTTGGCCCCTCGACCTGGCCTCCCCAGGGCCCCTCAGAGACTCTGCAGTAGTTACCCCGGGGTCATCACCTGCCCGCCCGTGTGCCTTGGGCTGGGGGAGGGTGCTTCTCTCTAAGTACCTGACAGTGGCCCTGAGAGCAGCTCTTGGCCTTACATTTTACTAGGCTCTTAATTTTTCTTGTTCATTAACTGATTCTTAATCTAATCCCACTTGCCTGTTATTAATTCCTCCATTAAGATTGTTGATTTACTGCTGACTCACTCACTGGGGCCGCTTTGTGTGTGGTTAGCTCATTATGTGTCTTAGCCGTGAACCTGGCAGAGTTGAAAATACAGATGAACGGGGCTGAGTCTTCCTGACCCGGCTGATGCGCATTTAGCTGTGGGACATAGTACTGCCTAGGGGGAGCCAGGATGGGTGTTAAGGAACTTTTCCTCTTCTTTTTTTTTTTTAAGATTTTATTTATTTGACAGAGAGAGACACAGCGAGAGAGGGAACACAAGCAGGGGGAGTGGGAGAGGGAGAAGCAGGCTCC